CGTATAAAGGGCCAATTATTCTCTTGGCCCAACTTTAAACTTTCCTTACATAGCGATTTAGTATCTCCATGTAAAAAGATTTACATGGGAATCATTTTAAACTAACTCAACAAATTTTGTCCTAGAACATAAAACAAAATTCAAAAACCTTGCTTTTAAAGCAACTAATTTGTCTGAATCCACATTCAGTAGTTATTTCATATCAAGACTTAAACAAGAAATCCATCATGAACTTCTTCTTTCTCAACCTACTTCCCTCTTAGATACTACAAAATTAGCACGTCATCATGAAGCAAAAATTCAATATTGTTTTATATTCCTTCCTCCTCTTGGCAAAAATCATACGCTCTTTCTTTCAAAAATACTACACGTAATTCTTTACATTCTAGCGTCAACTCATCCACTACATCACTCCTTATTTCTCACCTCTCTTCCCTTTTCTACCCAACTATCTATAAACCACCAAATCTTCTAATCCGAAAAACTTTCGCCGGCCAAAATTCAATTTCATCGTGAAAAGAAGTCTATGTTTTAATTGTGACGCAAATTTTGGCTCCCAACGTTGCCCAAACAAATTCTCTTACTAGGTACCGATGACTCAAACTTAGTGGATGTCTCTTTCCTCTCTTCCATCAATGAAGAAAATTCAGATTCTCAATCAAAAATCAGCCTTAATGCATTAGAAGACAATTTAACCCTCGTTCTTTCCGATTCACTAACTATATTAACAATCATAATATACATAGTACTATAGTAGTACTCAAAATTTCATTTAAGAACACCTTATCACTAAATTATCTCTTCATCCTCTACTTATTAAACAATTTAATATTTTTGTGTGCAATGGCAACTTATTATCTTGTAATTCTAAATGTCCACAAGTAAACATTATCCATATAGGCTATCAAGTTTATCTAGATCTCCTCATCCTGTACATTCATGTTGCTGATATTGTTCTTGGCATGCAATGGTTATAATCTTTAGGACCTATTTTACACGATTATTAAAACCTCACCATGCAATTCCATAATCAAAATACGCAGATTACACTAACAGACGAACCACAATTACAGCGTAATCCTATTAATTTTAACAATTTTCATGCAATCATTTCTCATTCACCCACCATTCAACCTTCACTATTCAATCACACTTCGTAGATCCAGTTTCTTCCTCCCCTAACAACCTATTGACAAACTAAATAGATAAACTCAAAATTCAATTACCCCCTTCCATTTCTAATCCCCTCACAAACAATTCCAACTTTTATTTTAACCTCCACAAGGCTTACCACTACATTGCACCATTCATTGATCATGGCATTCACCTTCCTTCCTTATCTAAACCTAATAACATTCAACCTTATCGTTATCCACATTTCCAAAAGGATGCAATTGAACAATCACTCTCTAAAATGCTTCGTGTCGGCATTATTTGTCATAGCCACAGCCTTGTATAGTTCAGTTTTACTTGTTAAAAAATGGGATGGCACTTGGCGTTTTTTAGTCGATTATAGAACCCTTAATGCCCTTACTATTAAAGATAAATTTCTTATCCCTACCGTAGATGAACTTTTAGACGAACTTCATGGAGCTACTATATATTCTAAACTTGATCTACATTCATGCTATCATCAAGTTAGAATGCATCCTCAAAATATTCACAAAACCTCCTTTCATAGTCATGAGGGACATTACAAATGATCCATCGACATTTCAAGCATACATGAATCAAATCTTTCATTCATTTCTTAGCAAATTCATTATAATCTTCTTTGACAACATCTTGATATACAGCACAGCCCCACTCTCAAACTCCATGTTAATCACTTTATTTTGGTTTTTCAATGCTTACAAACACATCACCTTTTTCTAAAACTTAATAAATGTCAATTTTGTCAATCTTCCATCAAATATTGGCTCATATTGTCTCCACAAGATACATCCAACCTAACCCTACTAAAATTCTAGCTATAATAAACTAACCAATTCCCTCCTCTTTATGCCACCTGTGTTCATTCTTAGGATTAATGAGTTATTATCAACGTTTTATACCTCATTATGCTTCTATAGCTACTCCATTAATCAATCTTCTACAAAAGGATTCCTTCAAATGGGAAACAACACAGCCTTAACTGTTTTTCAAAATCTCAAAATACCGAATGACTACTGCAACAGTCTTAGCCTTCCCTGATTTCACAAAAACTTTTATTCTTGAAACAGATGCTTCCAACTTAGGCATTGGTGCGGTACTTTACAAAATAATCATGCCATTTGTTTTTTTAGCAAAAAATTATGCACAAAAAACTCAACATCAACTTCTCTAAGAGAAGTATGTGCTATTACTGAAGTAGTTTCCAAATGGTGATAACATTTGTTAGGCAATGAATTTATTATTCATATCAATCATAAAAGCTTACGTGAAATTCAAACTAAGGTAATCCAAACACCTGATCAAAATATTATCTTCGCAAGCTTTTAGGATTCAATTTTTTCTATCAAATATAAGCAAGGAAAAACAAATATTATCACCAACTCTTTATCTAAACTACGTAAAGACCCTTCGACTCCTCCCTTCCAAAACTTAATTATATTTTCTCTTTAATTAATGACATAAAAAAAGGAATCACTTCGCTCTCCAGATATTTCTTCATATTGCTTCTCATCTTTCTAATGGCTATTTCTCTAATACACTTCATCAATTTCATGACCATATTCTTTACTATGAATGTCATATTTACCTATGTAAAAATTCATCCCTTAAACATCAAATCCTCATAGAATTTCATTCCTCACCTCTTTTTAGTCATCAAGGCATTTTTAAGATAGTCAAACATATTTCAGCTAATTTTAATTGACCTAGGCTTCATCAAGATGTTGTTGACTTTGTTAGAAAATGTCTAATTTGTCAAGAAAACAAATATTCTTCTATTCCTTTGACAACTATTTTATCTCCTCTATCAATACCTTCGCAAATCTGAGAAGACTTATCTACAGACTTCATCAATGCTCTACCCAATTCTAATGGTTATATTGCTATTTTGGTAATCGTTGATCGCCTATCCAAGATTGCTTATTTTGGTACCTTGCCTTCCAAATATTATGCTTCAAAAATTACTAATCCTTTTTAACATCTGATTGTTCGCTTGCAAGATTTTTCTAAAACCATAATTTTAGATTGAGATAGCATATTTTTAAGTCATTTTTGGCGCCACCTCGTCAATTTAAGTAGTAACATGTTATATTTTTGCTCTTCTTACCACCCACAAACAGATGACCAAGCAGAAATTCTCAATCATTGTTTAGAACAATATATCCATGCTTATACATCCTCTACATTTAAGTTATGGTCCTCTTTTTATTGTTGGGCAAAATTGTGTTATAATACATCATATCATACAAACATTAAAATATCTCCATTTCAAGCTCTTTATAGCCGACTTCCCCCTCCCATTCCTTCCAATATTTGTGGAACCTTCGACCTTCCCATTATTGATACTCATTTAACAAATCAAGATACCCTTCTCCAAACTCTACGACAAAACTTACTTCAATCACAAAATTGAATGAAAACCATAGTTGATCGTAATTGCAGAGATTTGCACTTTTCAATAGGTGATCTAATTATTGTCAAATTACAACCATTTTTATAAAATTCTATCATTAATCGTACCCATTTTAAACTCACTAAGAGATGTTTTGGCCCTTCTATAATTTAAGATTGCTTAGCCCAGTAACCTATCGCCTACAAGTATCTCCCGGAAGGAAAGTTCATCCGGTTTTTCATCTCTTCTGAAAACTTTTAAAGGTTCCCCTTCACTAACTCCTTCCCCACTACCAAACTTCAGTTATAACAACCAACCTCTTCTTTTATTATATGCTATTATAGCTCACACATTATACAACTTTGCGGTCAACCCCACTGATAGGTCCTATTACAATGGAAATTAAATTTACCTGATCATGCCAATTGGGAAAACTTTTCTGCACTTTCCACCTCTTTACTTCTTTCAACCTTGAGGACATGGTTATTTTCCAAGGAAATGGGAGTATTAAATATCAGCATATTATTTTGTATCTGAAAATTGTACAATCCAAACATGCAAAATGGGCTACAAACAAAACGGAACAACCAACAACTACAAAAAATCTACCAAAGAAGAAGAAATAAACCTATGCCACAACTCCCAAATGATAACAACATTGTTTTAGCAAAATAAATAATATGGGTTCACATGTATAATATAGCATTAGTCTAGTAGTTTTTTTTATTTGCTCTAGGTAGACCTAACTTATTGGTCATCTAAACATTATAATATCTCTCTAGTTGTAAACAAAAGGATTATAGAATAAAATTTCTGGTTTCCTCTTCTTCTCGTATCTCTTCTCTTTCTTTGGAAGTTCACAGCTACTATAAAGGTGCCTAATCTTTTTGATCCTTCAATAAGGATAACAAACACCTAGACAAATCCACCACGAGCTCAACAACTATTTTTTCCTGCCAACAGCAGCCTGTAATCCCCTTCAAAATTCATTCCAACACACACAAAAGGGTGAAATATGCATTTACAGGAGAGAAATCAAGACAAGGAGAGATAATGACAGTGCAGAAATAAAGATAACGAGATAATGATGGAAAGAGAACGGTAGAAGAAAATTTTAAGGATCTTAAAAGTTTAAGAGAGAGAAAAATGTCCTTGATAGCTACCATAACACTGATTATTTTAGCACACAATTTTGCAATTTATAAAAAATATTTTATTCGCCATCATAAAGCAAGAAATGACTAGGAGAGATAAAACAGGAAATTTACAGATATGCTCATTAAGTATAAGTAGAATCCAGGTCCATGTTTTGAAACTCCAAATGTAACATTCCGCACCAGATAAGCAGCTAGGCAACCCTTTTTTAAACATTGCAATTAACTTTCTGCAGTGAGATGTTAAAATCTCAAAGTTGACCATAAAATTTTAGTCCTGTCTGATACAATATACTTTGTCACCTGAAATTATATGCTAGTAATCTACCCTTAAACTCATGTTCGTCCCCTTTTCTAAATAGAACAGCTATTCATGATTATATCTCATGTGTCACAGGTACATTTCAACTTTGTAAGCCAATTTCTTTTGTGACAGATGTCTCTAGAATAAAATTTTGAATTTTCCGAATTAAGTGATGATAAAAAAAAAATCCATTTATTATGAATGAAAAAAATAATAATATCAGCAAATGTGATGGGGAATGTCAAAAGAACTTGTTCGCTCGCTCTGAAAAGTAAGGCACTTTCCTGGAAAGCTTCAAATATGAGTAACCTCATATATCTCACGTCAAAGAAGGAACAAATTTTTCCCTAGAGAAAACCTCGATGACAGAAATTTAGATACCAGAAAGGAAGTAATGATACATCTCTCTTTGTAGAAAAGATTCCCTACAAGCAACTTTAGATTAGTAAGAATGAAGATAACAACATTCAAAACAATTAAATCATTAAATCATCCCGAGTTTGACATTCTAGTAACAATTAATATAACTAAAGTTCCAGCTGTAGGCCCTTAACATGCAAGAAAAATAATAAACATACCCAACTCTTCATGGTGCTCCACAACATTGCGTGCTGCTATTTTATCAAGTTGTGCTAACCTAAGAGTGGCCTGCAAGAAGTGAGGTAGAGAAAATAACAAGCATATAACATTAACTTTCTCATGCATAATCAAAATATTCAAATCTTGAATCTTACTCTCAAAAACATTTTTGTTAAATTTCTTTAAATGCCTGCATTTAACCCTAGGACAACATTTTACTTTATTATTCAAATTATGATCTTTCATCTTAAAGTCCAAAACTAATAAACAATGATATATACATTAACTTTCATTCGAAATGATTGTATAATCTTTGCAATCTAAAAGATACATTTTTCTTATTAAAAAATAATCAAAGTTTTACTATATCAATTGTTATAAGTGATGACATGATCATCTCTTTTCTTAAATAAGGCATTAACAATTACAAAATTATAAGCTAGAGCAAAATCTAATATAGTTCTACCACGTTTATTAATCATTTTAAATCCATAGCCACCATAAATATTTTTAAAATCTTTTACATTCTACCAACATGACCATTTAAATTTCCTCCAATAAAATTTATTTCTTCAAGAGGTATCCTTTGTATTAATTCATCTAAGTTATTCCAATATTTTAATTTTGAACACAAATACAAATATATTTAAGGAGAATAAGCATTTATAATATTAATAATCATAAAATCAAGAGCAATCTCTAAAAATATAATTTTATCTCCAATTCTATTAATTTCAAAATACAACAAAAAAGATCAAAAAAATTGTGAACCAAAGAAAAAGTTATTATAAAGAACAGCACTTGAGAGTTACATGATTGCAAAGCTTGTTGAACAATTAATATATCAAGTGAAAAAAAATGTAGTAGCACTTTCGAAATTAAGAGGATATCACCAATAAATGGCTGCAACACTACATTATTAACAAGCAAGTGAACATATGACATTGCATTTCGTATAGCTCCCCTTATTATTCAAATATATCTCTTTATTTGTTTGGATGAATCATACATTTTAGAGGAAAAAAGGATTACAAAGACAAGATGGGTGAACCTTCTTCTCAAAATACACAGTGTCACTCTCTCCGGATTGAATGTGCTCCAAAATATACTTAACGGGATCAAAATCCTGCAACCAAAATCTACAAACTTAGATTGAGAAATATTAACATATTTAATTTACATTTAGTCATGCATGTTCAAAGATATAGTAAATTATTTCATTTGATTCAGTATAAAATTAGTAAATCCCAAGTAAAGAGCCCCTAACTTTCCAAATGCAAAGAGAAAGCATGCAATAATAACTGTGAATTATGCATCAATTAAAAACATAAGCCATTCTTATTTGGACACAAAAGATGTGCAAGCCTAATAAGTTGATAAAAAAGATAAATTAAGTGAATCCTAAATATTATAACCAATTTTAAATTTATTAAATACCTAGAATACAATAAACAATTTGCCAAAAGAACAGGTTAAACAACAAGCATGCAATAACAACTAAGAGTCAGCGAACCTAACAAGAGAACTAATGGTGGACAGTGGTCGAATAATAACAACTTAATAATTATCAGGGCGCCTTTCGATTAGTGAAACCCTTGTAAGAACAAGTTGACGAGATACACAATCCCCTTGCTGACCAAGGCCTCCCTTGGGTCCAATGCCAATACTTAAGCCCATGACATTATGAAGTTGCATCTGCAAATAGACCCTTCCACAAAGAGGATCTATGCGGTGACCAGGCATGGTCAACCTCGGCAACAAGGGAACGGGGTATTGTCCCTCAGCCTGAATTACATCTCGTATAGCTGCAAGTAAGCTATCTCGTGATGTGCTTGCATAAACATGAATAGGGAAACCATCACTAAATTCCATGGAAAATAACAACTAAGAGTAATGCATAGAAAACAAAGCTAAATTTTCTCTAACATATAAACATGCATTAGAAGCCATCAAAGTGAGAAAGCATGGTTCCAAGGTAGGACCCAATAATGTGCTAATAGAAATAAGGATAGTTCAAGCAAAGTTTCTGAGACTAGCAAAACCTCCTCATAGAACTCCTCTTCAAGCACCTCAAGGGTTTGACCATTCCTTCCATATAGGAAAGTAATATCCTCAGAATTTGATCTGAGGGCAATCCTTTCATGTGGGGGAAGCCCTACAAGAGCTCGAGCTGCAGCAGCAGCTGTAGCTACCCTTTCAGGAACCTGCATCAATAGAAACAATAATTAAGTTGAGAATTGATCTTTCTCTAACCCGCTAATAAATATAAGTTAATAAAAAGAACAAATATAAATAAAAAGAATATGATAATTTAAATTTAAGTAAGGCCAAGAACAATTCAACATCAGTTAAGAGTACAGAAGAAGAGAAAGAAAAACAATAATTTACAGATGAAATGCTAAATAAGATTGATGGAAAAATATCCTTATCCAGGCCAACAACATTTGAGTGAAACTGAGAATGGAAAGGAGTTAAAATCTGTGCAAACTACATGAGAATTAAAGCAAAAGGATATTATAGTCAATTACAATATCATTCACAGTAACCAGAGGGATAGTAAAATTATTTCCAAAAATTACACTCCCTGAGCCACAACGAAATAAGCATGCATAAAATTGCGGCGATGAGAAGAAAATTTTCTTGGCATTTGAATTAGATACTGCATATTTTTTTATGAGAACTGAAGTGCCATTTGGAGGAATGTTTACTTGAAAATACTCCATATTAGTCAGTAACACAAACACGAAGCTCATTATTTAAGCAGGCTACACTATCCAAGATCAATGTACTGCAGATCTGTTCAAGTACATTAGAAGCAAAGTAGGAAGCAAAGAGCCTCAACCAGGAAGAATGTTAATATGCAACATTGGACTAACCGAGTTCAGTCACCCACATTTTGATATCTCTAGCAACACAGCCGTGACACTGCCATCTGTCAACAATATAGGTGTGCAACCGGAATCAGAAATTCTTTGTGCATTTTTCATTTACGAAAACAAAAAGTAAATGATCTTTCTCCTTCCTTCGGTCACTAACTCTTTGCAAAAGCACTAAAAGAATACACACTCAACCCCGAGCTCGTTATGCATTAAATTCAACACAGAACTCAGAGCCGAGATTATGATCCTACTCGCCCCATAAACCCAATTTCCAACAAATATCATCGACTTAAAAAAATTAGAAAACACAGACACACAGAAGAAAAGCATTGAAGAAGAACCTCAGGGCGATCGGACGTAGATGGGAGGAAGCCAAGTGAGCGAGCAGAACAGACGAGCTGAAGATTTTCTCACCAACCCTAGAAAGATCCATACGCCTCCTTGAAGTAAAAGCAGTGGAAGGAATAACAACGGTCCTGGGGGCTCTAGCTCATGAACAGATCGGCCACCGTCCCACGACGATTCCCGCTGCATCGCTTAGCTACCGAGCACGGCAATGATAACATCGGCCTCTGACAGGATCTTCAGAGCTCTGGCGCGTAGCGAACGCGGCCCTAGACCAGGACCGAATCTGAATCGAAACTCCAGTGAGAAAGCGTTCGCAGATGATGAGCGTTGCAGAAATCCAAGTCTGGTAGGAAGTGGCCGAAAAATAAGTTTGGAGCTTAAGCCTGATCCAAGATCACTGGTTACACAACTCTCCTTGGCCTATTGGTTGAGAGCTTAGACTTCCAACTAAGAGGTCCAAGATTCGAGTCTATGTATTTGCGTTATGTGTATGAATTTGCCTTAATTGACATAAATGTCCAAAAAAAAAAAGATCATTGGTTCCTCTATAATGATTTAGATTTTATTTAGGACCCTATTTTACTGTTTAAAAAATTAATAAATAAAATTTAATTTTTATATTAAAAAGTTATTTCAAGAAGCAGTAAGAAACCTGTGTCAAATGAAGTCTTAGTTTCTATTTAGGATGAATTTCTTATTGTTTCTTAATAATTTTTTTTTAAATTTTTTAGTTATTTATTTATTAAAAAAATTATTAATAAGCAGTAAGAAAGTCGTCCCAAATAAAATTTTAGTTTACATATATGATGTTATGCTTATTTTTTATTTCTCTCTCATATTTTAAATTTTCTTATTTTGTGTTTAATAATAATAAAATCATTTAATAGTTCCATCAATTTGATAAAAAAGAAGCTTAGGAATAAAATTTTCTCATCTATTACATGCTAAAATATTCAAGATAGTAGAGAAAAAGAATTGAATATCCTATTAGCAAACCTCATTTAGTAGGATAAAAGGTTATTGTTGTTCTTGATATTGTTATTATGTCATGTGAAGATTCACACATGATAAAATAGAGTTGCAATAGGTGTTAAAGTTT